CAAAATAGAACGGGGCAAGTCAGAGTCCTGCTCTTGGTGGAAATCTGAATGCTGAGAGGGAGCCGTCCTCTCTCCACTCTCAGAGAACGGACTGTGGTAGCCACACTTGTTGGGACATCGGCCGAGTAGTTCCTAGCATGAACCTCTGTCCCTAGCACATCCATGCAATGACTCATTCAACTTCAGGGCCAGCTATGGGCTCAGAGCTACTTCTTATATGTATTTTAAGGACATGGAAATTGAGGCACAGAGAAAGCAAGCCAGGAGGGATCTTCTTGGATGATTAGAGAGAGACTGGGCAGAATGGGGCTAGAGCCAACCAGGATGAAGGAGGGAAGGACAGAAGAGGTAAATCCAACATCACATCCTACAGTTGGGTCCTCAAGGCCAGGGCTCACATGTTTGCTTAGTTTCATGAAATTCCTTCAGTCCCCTTCCCAGACAGGAGAGCTCATGGGTCTCTTTTCAAAATTTAATTCAAGTTGGTTTGCTATTCTTGGGAGTAAACTACTCATCCTGCCTTGTTGGTATGGATTTTCTCACAGTCATACATGGGACTCATATGCAGTCAGCTAAGTAAACTAAGTCTTTCATTCATTTACATTTCTGTTTTATAATATATGTATAATTTGAAAACCCAGTGTGTTAGTTAATACTGCAGTTAGGTCTCGATACAGGACAGTATGGCTGCTATTTCCTCATGTCCACCTTGGGAATGGACAACCCTGTGGCCATTACCTGTCTGAAGCTGACCTCCCAGACCTGCTAACATCCACACAGTGCAAAATGAAATAATATGAGGAAATGAAAATGCTTAGGATCAGGATTGTGTCATCTTTAGTTTACCAGGGCCAACCAAGCGAAGACAAAGTTTGATCTGAATTCCTAACCACAGCATGGTGGTGGCCCATTCCAATGTGGCCTCTGGAGGGGACCTATGTGTCTAGATGGGAACCCTGTGCTGAGGTCTGTGCCGCAGAACTTGTAGGTAGGCGGCTGGTTCCTGGCGTGATAGGGTTTGGACAATGTCACCTCCTCTAGGTTGGGGCCCTCATGAATATGATTAGTGTTCTTTTTTTTTTTTTTTTTTTTTTTTGTCTTTTTCCTTTTCATCGGTACCAGGGATTGAACTCACGACTGCCTGCTTGCAAGGCAGGTGCTTATGCCGCTGAGCTAAATCCCCAGCCCCTATGATTAGCATTCTTACAAAGAGGAAGAGAGACCAGAGGCAGCTCACCCATTCTCTCCCATGTGCCATGCAAGAGCACAGAAGGACAATTGTCTGTGAGCCCCAAACCATGCCCTCAGTGACACAGGGCCCACAGACACCTTGAGCTTGTACTTCTCAGCCTCCAGTTCTGTGAGAAGTGTTTGCCTCTAGCTGCTGTCTCTGGAGCTCAGGGATAGCAGTCTGTATTAAGAGGCAGAAAGGCCTGGCATGTTCTTTGCTCAGAACCATAGAAGCTGCCACCCTTCTCCAGCCCCCTGTGGCTCACCCCTTTCCATCTGGTGGTCTCTTATTGGGCCAGCTCGGGGGAGGCCTCCACTGTACGCTTGTGGTCCTCAGTCAGCTGCCTCCGGGAGGAACAGTGAGAATCCCTTCTGGATCTCCTCCTCTTCCCATCCTTGCATTCTCCAGTTTGGGGACAGCACAATCTGTTACACAGCAGTAGACAGCCCTGGGCTTCCATGGTGGCAGCCGCAGTTCCAGGCCCTCACACTAGAGAGACACAGGACTTCCTCTCAGTCACCCAGGCACTAGGTACCAATATTCTCCAGAGCCCCTAAGAGCGTGTGGGTGCTTGTCACTCTGTATGTCAAAGTGGGGACGTTCCCAGGGGACTACTGAAGTCACTACCAGCACACAGTATGGTGATGGGAGAGTCCCAGCAGTTCCTAGCATCTCCCAAGATTCCTCCAAAAATGTGAGTGTGATTGACATAAGCCACTTGCTAAGAACACAGCTGGCGGGGTCCCTTTCCCTCCATTCAGGAATCAGCACTCAACAAGCTCTCGGTGATCCTTCTGTATAGGAAACACTGAAAACAGTAGCCTTCCCAGGGCTCCATACTGAAGAATTATTGGGAATAGATGTCTGTGGTATTGCATGGCTTTTCCAAGTGAACTGGCTACCAGCAGTCTACAGGAATTGCTGTGAGGTGAGTGACATCTGTTAGTCCTGGTCCTCTGTGGTCACCACTGTGAGTGGCCCTTCTCTGTCTGTCCGCACCCCTTCCTCCAGATGGTGCCTGACCCTCTAGCCTAGCAGAACTTGTCCACATCATACCCCTCTGTCTCACTGACCAGCTAACCGGTTGAATTAATTTAGACTGGAGAATGCAACCTATCCTTCCACATAACAAAATCCTAGCAGTGTCTTCAGTAACTGAACTCAAAAGCAGAGTGACTACAGTTGTGGGTTGGTGGTGGTCACATCTGATGCTCCCAGGAAACACCACGCAGCTGGCTACCACTCAGCAGCAGAGCGTGGCCACCTCTTGATCAACTGTCCCACACTCTGGGACATGTCTCCTTCTTTGCTTTTGTCCTGACAAATCAATGAGTTACTTAAAAAATAGCAGTGGAAGATTCAAGTCATTGTCGAGGGCCAGGTAAATAGAATACACGTAGGTAAAGATGTTTCCTCCAACGTGCTGGCTGATGAAGTGATTTTACAGTGGGTTTAAGAGCAGGGCAACTCATGTCTAACAAAATGCTCCTTTGTTAAAGGAAAATAAATTCCTTTAATACATAATTTCCTCATGGCTTTCTACAATTACTTACAGTCCGTAAAAGCTCCGCATTCATACGGGCTAAATGAATCCAATAATTTAGTTCATTTACTTCAGCATTGAAATCTCTGTTTTTCAAAATATTTTTTTTAGAAGTACAGGGCCCGATAGGCTCCAAGTTTTTCCTGCTCTGTATTCTTCTACTGTAACAACACAGGATTAGCTAATAAGTGCAAATTTGAGATCAGTGTGTTATGAAAACCAAATTAAATACAGTCCTTTCATTTGGGCGTGATGAAGGAGGAGGAAGCCTGCCACACAGAGCTGATAATAACCGTCACAAAGGGGTCTGCCCAGCTGGAGAGATTCTCAACTTGCCTCCGCTCTGATCATCCCGAGCGCTTGGAGTTCGCCATTCCTTAGAAAACCAGGATGAGACTTCTTCAGCTAACGTGACCAGTCTTTAACCCAGTGACACAGGACAGTGAATCCCAAGGGAGCTGTAATCACTGGTTTGCCTTTAGTGCCTCTAGGTCATTTCGTTTTGCCTAATTCAGGCCAAAGGCTTTGTGCTAATTCCGCTCAGCTCTCTCAGGAAGAGATTTCTATTCACAAGGAAAAGGAGATAATTAAGAACTGAGGGGTCTTTGGTAACTTGACATTTTTCAGTAAAAATAATGAGATGAGAACAAAGGGGTGGCCACACAAGTTTCTAACAGTATTCTGGGCCCTCAGTAGGTATCTTGTTACTTCATAACATAAGCCACCATCTTTATCCTAAGACCTTGGAGCCTGGTGGGTTTTAAAACAATTTCGTTTTTTAAATTTCAGAAAGGTGACAAAATTGATCTACTGAATAGTTCATAATGTCTCCAAGATGACCAGATTAGCGATCCTACAGTGAACAGCAGTATTTCTGCAGTGAAACATACAAATATTCATATTTAAGGGAAATAAATACTACAGATAGTGTCAAGCTATTTAGATTGGGTTTTGCCACCAAATGATTTGTGCCCTTCCAACCCCAAGAGACTTTGAGATTTGGAATTGCAAACAAGAAGTTACGGGTTTATCTCTGGGTTTTTGTGCAAACTACTCAAGGACCCCTCCTTCAATTCTGGTTTCATTGGCTAGTGTGCCCTATACATTACTGACCTGAAACTTACTTTTTTTCATGCTTAAAATTTTATGCTCAGTTAATTGTTACTCTCATTGATTTGGTCACCGCATTCCTCAGTGATTTTATTTCTTGTTACAAAAATAATTTTAAGGCTCAGTGTTTCTCCTTTAAGAAAATTTGCCCTGGCATTTAACGCTTATGCCAAGCAGCATGCTTCCTTTGACTTCAAGCAAAAGAAAGGGACTATGGCTCAGGCAAAAGAGACTTTACTGGGAGGACACAGAACAAAAGAGGAGCTGAGAGCCACACTTGGAAAAGCAGAGAAGAGAAACTCTTTTAATCTGAAGCAAGCAGGATTGCATCAGGACTTCTCACCTCTACCTTTTACGGTTTTTCCCAGGAGCTCTGCTGAAGAGCAAACCCAAGGTGGGCCTGAGGGCTAGGTGTGGCCTGTGGTCGGTCAGGAGAATCTGGCTGACCCTCCCACCATACTTGCATCAGGTTTGTAGAAGCCTTTAGAAGGGGTTGCTACTACAAGAAGATGCTTAGGAGTTCCAAAGGCAAAATAAGCCTAACAAAAATTCTCTATGGGTTTCAAAACAGCTTCAGAATACTACTCTTCAAGCTTGGCTTTTTAGGGAGGTGCAAAGTCTCACTGTGATTATTTTTGCAAACTTAGTCCACCCCCACTTAAAAGTGAGTTACATCTCTTGAGCCTTTCTCCACTTCTCTTTCTTGAGGACAAAAGCTACCGATGTTCCTCACTGGATTTTATTTTGTTACAGTTAATGAGTTATGTGCAAAGGGATCTTCCACCAAGGAGCGTCAAGAACCGAAGCAGCCCCATCAGAGGGGAGCCTAAGGGTGGAAACCAAGTCATTAGAGCAAAAAGCAAACACTTTCCCTGTTTACCTAGCACAAGCAAGTATCTATCACAGCAATCGAGATCCAAGGAGGTGAAGGCAGCAGATGAATCTGGCCCTCCCCTCTGCATGTACTGCTTAAAAATGCGTAACGGATATTACGTCACCCTTGCTCAGCTCATCCTTGCATGAAGCAGCTTTGGGAACTGAGAGAAATCCTTATAGCAGGCACCGATGTGGTACACGGAACCTTGGCACGCACTGCTGGACACACACAGCTCCTACCTGGTACTCGTACTTGGTGAAAGGCAGCAGGTCAGAATCCATGAAGGAGTTCGAGCTCCCGTTGTAGGTTAGCACTGGGTTGGATTTTCCAGATGGAGTCTCTGTTTGTCTTCTGTACAATTCATAGTGTAAAATGTTCCCATTGGGCTGGAGCGGCCCTGTCCACAGAAGGGAAACAGTGGGCCGGAACCCCCCAGGAGCCGTGCCCACCTCCACATGAGGAGGAGGCTGCATCTGAGGAGCCATCTCCAGGGTCTGGATGGAGGTCCAGTCGCTTGATGCACATCCCAGGGCAGTGCAGGCTTGAATTCGTACTTCATACCTAAGGGAAGGAGGCAGGATTATAACTGGTCAGCACAACAGACCTGAATGAGACATCTTTCAAAGACTAAGTGTTCTCAGAAAAGAAGACAAGTCTGTATGGATTATCATTTTCTGGTATTGAAAACTGAACACAGGGCCTTTGCACTGAGCCACCCCTGGCCTTCTTACCCTTCTTGTTTTGACATAGGGTCTTTTTAAATTGCTAAATTGTCCAGGCTGGACTCCAGCTTGCAATCTTCCTGCCTCAGCCTTTCACAGTGCTGGGGTTACAGCCTGTGCCATCACACACTCAGCTCACATTTATTTTTATATACAGCTGTTTTGCTGCTGGGGATGGAACCCAAGGCCTCGTGCAGGCTAAACAAGAACTCTACCACTGAGCTACACCTCCAGTCCATGGTTAATTCTTTTAAAGAATAATGAAGTCATATTTGCATGGAATGTTCTGAACATTTTAAGCTCTCTTGACTTTGCAAACCAAAAGGAAGATTCTCATCTGTTTGTAAGGAGTAAGCACAATTCTCGCCCTGAAGAAGGCTGCATGGAATACATAAACCTTTGGGATTCTGGCATGGTGAAAACTCTAGCGTTCTGCAAAAGTGTCTAACATAGCAATGAAGAAGGCCGCTCAGGGATTGAGAGCCAGTTCAGCAGCTCTGGGCTTCCCTACCTCTGCAGCTATGCCCAGAGGATGCCCCAGGCCCATTTCTAGATTGTGAAGGGACGGCTAGGAGTTTAGGTCTCAGGGGTAATAAATCCCCCACCTGATGCCTGACATCTTAAAACAGGCTCCGTGCACCACACAGAGACCTTCTGGGGCCAAAGTCAACCCAGCTGCTCTCCAGATTATCCATCATGGCGACACCTTATCATCATCCCCTAAACTCAACTAATCAATTATGCTTTGCCTCAGCCTGGCACTTGAAAAGGTCTATTTACATAGCAGGGACTCTGGGTGAGTGTGCAGTGCCCATGGCAGGAAACCAGTATGTTTTACCCCACTGATTTTATGACACCCCTCCATTCCCCTCAGCACTCAGCTCCCTTTATGTCTCTGGGCTCAGCCTCCATTCTCTGCATCCAATCTCTGACTTTCCTCTTTGATGATCGGCTGCTTCAGCTCTCCGGTGAGCTGCTTCCTGTTCTGCTAGTCTCCTCTTCCCCCTTGGTGACTTTTTCCATCCCCTCTCTTTCTCCTCCCCTCCCCTCCTCACTTCCTGCTATCCCTCTCCCCTGGGATGGGGAACACACCCACAGCTGCATGTGGCAGAGGTGTGAGGTCAATTCTGATTTTGCACCTTAGGCTTATTCACCTTATTCACCTGGATTATTTGTGGTAGTTTGGAAATCCTAGTTTGGTTGCTTTCTGGAACACTCCCAAGCCACTTCTTCCTAGTGACCAGCTAGGATGCCCAAAGGAGGACACATAAATCTGTAATACCTATAAATATGAATGTGCTTTAAAAGTCACAGGGTAGCAGTGCTATTCTGTTTTATACCCTCAGTGTCACAGCATTAATCACAGGGGATGGGAACAGACCCTTACTTGCATCTTCGAATGTTCCTAATAGGCTCACTAGATTAACCAAAACTTTTTTTGCTCACGCCTGGAAAAGTGTCCCTCTCGTGTCTGGGAAAACCATATTTGTCTGTAGAAATCTTTGTGAAGAAGTTTCAGGACAGGTGAAATTGATAGCATTTTTGGAAATTGCATGTAAAGTCAGAGAAAGAGGAAGCTGGTGAAAATATACAGCTCTATAGCCTGTGTGGGCCTTTTTAATGACCCAAATTAGAGTAAAATAAAAGCCAGCTCCAAGCATGCGGATTAGCCATGCAGGATACCTGAGGAAGTTTTAATTACTCTTTAATATTTAATATGGCCCTAAGTAATTGTCATGAATAGATGCAGAAGACCATGAATGTTTCATTTAACCAGCACCATATCTCAGAGGTAGATAATTATAGAGATATCTAATCTACACATCAGTAGATTACAATGAGAGCTCAATTTTACCTGCGGTGGCTGGAAATCAACACTTTGTCTTCAATTTTTTTTAAAAATGGTTCTGTTAATTTTACTAAATTTTAAGCATAAAATGCCTTTTATTACTCTTCTCTCTGGGGACTCAAGTTACTTAAAATATGAAAGGGAATACTGCCAAGCAATTATTAAGCTGCAGGGAGATTCCTTTGTGGTAGGAGCAAAATGCTTTCATGTGAGGCAAAAACCTGGAGAAAACCCAGTGCCAGCAGAAGCCTAGAGAGCAGAGGGGTACTGAGAAGTCACAGCTCCCTGGCTGAGAGAGTCCTAAAATGGGAGGAAATGGTCCAAAGGAGCCTCATTATCCCCAGAAGAAGTGCTGGGTTACTAGAAAGGCTCTTCCCAGTATGAACCATGGTCTGGACCAAGTCTGGCTGGTAAAGGAGCTCCCTGACTGCTCTGGTTCCTACTTTAAGGTGCCTCCCTCTGTTCGTGGCCTGGGGCCCTCCTGGGGCTCTGGGAATTGTGGTGGGTCTGCATGATCTCAGGAGGGATGTGATTCAGGGCGTCAGCCTCATTCCTGCACTGGTTCTAGACAGGATAATGAGCTGCAAACCCCACCTGCAGGAATCCTGCTCTTGGGGGTTATGCAAAGGCAGGTTTCCCCCACTATGAATGTGAAGTGGTTGTGCTGGGGACATCTCCTGCCTGGTCCTTGGAGTCTTCATTTGAATGAGCTGGGGCTCCCACACCAGAAGGGACAGTGGCTCCCTCCCAGAGCTCCCTGCTCGCCCACCTACTGAAAGGCTTCAGCTGCTCCACCACAAGCGACCGTTCAGCAAAAGAACCGTGCGTCGTGTTTATGTGCACGGCTCTCGTTTCCCCCTGGAAGAGCTCACGGATGATAAGCGTGTAATTGACGATATCACCATTGGTCCTCGCCGGAGGGTCCCAGCTCACTATGATCTCCCGGGGACCCTGGGTATGCAGTTCGGCAGGCCGCATCCCTGAGGGCGCCGAGGGGCTGGTCCGGTGTTTGACAAGAGGACTGGAAGTGTGCCCTTGGCTATTGGTGGCGGTCACTGTGTAGCCGTACTCCACTCCCGGGGTGAGAGGGGCATCGTGATAGCGTGTTCCGGGGCCAGTGTACACCACAGCCCCATCCCTCCTCAGCTCATAGCTTCGGATCCGGCCATTTGGGTTTCTCGGGGGTTCCCAGGTGACTTCTATGGATTCGGAGCTTGTGACCAGCAACACGGGGGAGCCCATGTTCTCTGGCGGGGCCTCCATCGTCCAGGCAGACCTGGACTCACTGACTGTGCACCCCCCACTTGTGCAGGCGACCAGGGAGAAATTGTACTGAGTGCAGGGCTGCAAGTGGGAAACCAGGAGGGTCAGACCCTGCCCGGCCGGCTGCTCCTTGTTGTCGTATCTCAGCAGGTACCCAGTGATCGCCCCATTTGGCGTGGATGGTGGGGACCAAGACGCATTGATCTGACTGGCACTGACGGCGCAGAGCGTGGGAGGGCTGAGCCCCGACGGGGCCGCCTCGGGGGTGGTGACCTGGGCGGCCTTGCTGGTGGAGCAGCCCGCGAGCGTGCAGGCCAGGACAGCGTAGCTGTAGGTGGAGAAGGGCAGCAGGTCGTCGTCCGTGTAGCTCAAGGTGCCAGCGTCAAAGCTGAAGGGGTAGCGCACCCCGTTCTTCTGCAGCCCGTAGGACTGGACCACCCCGTGGGGCTGTTCCGGGGGCGTCCAGGAAATGAGCAGGGCGGGGGGGTCCCTGGACACCCAGGCCAGCTCCGGAGGAGAGAGCCCTTCGGGAAGCGCCTGCAGCGTCCTCACCGCGCTCCAGGCGCTGCAGGTGTGGCCCGCGGAGTTCCAGGTGCAGATGCGATACTCGCACGGGGTCCACGGCTGCACCCCTGTGTCTGTGTACGCGAAGGCGCCCCTTTCCGGGGGGCTGTGTTCCACGAAGACGGTTCTTTCCTCGGCCTGGGCCTGGGTCGTCCAGTTCCCACGCGTGAGGTCTCCCTCGCATCTGCGAACCACGGCGTAGCGCGTGATCTTCCCATGCGGGCTCGCGGGCTCCGACCAGCGCAGCTCCACGTGCGTGGGCCCCACGACGCGCACCGCGGGCGCAGGCTGGGACTCCGGGGCGCCCTCGCCGGTGCGCAGCCGCTGGGGCGCCGAGTGGGCGCAGCCGGCTGCCGTGCAGGCCTCCAGGCTCAGGGTGTAGACGCTGCCCGGGCGCAGGCGGCGCAGCAGGAGGCTGCGGCCCGGGCCTCGGTACTCCGGGAGCCCCTCGCTGAAGACTCCGTAGGCCTGGGGCGGAAAGAAGAGGGCGGAGGAGGGCAGGTGAGTAGGTGTGCGCAGGGGGCTGCCGGGCCCCCTTGGGACCTGGACCTCTCATCTCCTCTCTTCCAGGCCGAGAGGAGCACCCTGACTCTCACTTTGCAAATGGGGGCGTTTCTTGTTAATAAAAGACCGAGTTGATAGAAACATCCTTTCAAAGGCTGGGAGGCAGGTAAGCACCGAGCCACACCTCAGGGCTCCGACTTCCCGTTTCACCTAAGCCATATCACAAGGGTCTCCTGTTTATATTTGTGAGGAGAAAGGAAGGGCATTCGAATCCCCTATTTTATCCATCCTGGGGGCGTATGGCCCCATCCTCTCTAGGGTGAGACCTCCCTACGCTGTTTATTTTCCGTAGAACCTTCTGGGAAATGAAATTGCAACGCTTACTATCTGTTTATTTGGGGGGGTCAGAGCTGAAACGTGTGTGTGCATGTACAGGCACAAATGCACATATATTACACGTATGTATAAACGTGTGTGCATAATACATGCACGACATATATGTATAAATACATATGCATAATACACACAAATATGTATTTTTGATGAGTAGGAAATTGAAAAAGAAAAAACACCCTGACTTCCTTGCACAGTGGAGGAAAATGGCTTGCTTCCTTTGGAGCCAAATATTTTTGCACAGGTGAAAACCATCTGAGGCTTATCCTCCAAAAGCGGGTAGTTTCCCTCTGCATTATTCTTTTGGAAAGACAGAAAGTGACTGTAAAGATGCAGGCATTTCTGAGCAGGGGCTTCCCATTCCCACAGACGAGAAGTGGAGACCCCTAGCTGTTGCGGCCACCCACCAGACCCCAGAGGGCTCCTCTAGCTCCCGACATTCCTGCAGATCGCCGATGGAGGCTAACCTAGACTGGGTGGGTGACAGCCTTCGGTCACCGCAGGTTGCAAGCCCAGCTTTTGGAAATGGAGGTTGGGTATGATTCTCCTTGGGGCTCCTAGGAGAAGGGGAGTGGAACTGACCCCGAGTGGGCAATGGTAGATTTCATGTCAGCTCAGGAGCCTCTTGGGCTCCCTGGCAGCTGTGCTGCCTGTGACATTCCGGGGCAGATGTCTACTGAGTGTTCCCCTCTCACCCAGCTCCTTAGTGGTTTTGGAGAAAAGTGTCCAAATGTGTTGCCGTAATTCAGAAGACTGTGCCCCAAAGGCTCAGGCATTAATATCTTGGTTCCTGGGGTGTCACTGTTGGGATGTAGGGTGGAGGGAACTTTGTGGCCTGTCCTGGCTTCATGGTGGATGTGCTCTTGCAGGGAACCCTAGAACCCCATCTCTCCCTCTTCCTGCTTCCTGTCTCACGTGGTCAGCACTTTTGCTGTGGCAAAGAGTCCCCACTTTGACCTGCTGCCCTTCCCAGGAACCCAAAGATGGGACCACCTAACCTTGGACTTCTAGCACCAGGAGCCAAAAAAACCTTTTTCTCTTCATAAGTTAGCTGCCTCATGTATTTTGTTATAATAAGAAAGCACTACCTAAGACATAGGGAGACTAGTCTTACTCTAAATTTCTAACTATACATTTTCAGTGGGGGCCAACCAAATTGCAACTGTTTATTTCCTTAGGCATTTGTTCTCTCATTTTCCAAAGCAATTATTTTGTTCCTTTTCTTTTCATCACTATTATTGCCAACTCCCTTCTCTGGCTCATCATTGCTTACTGGCATAACCACATGGTTCATTAAGGACAGAAGCCATTATAAAGGGACATTTTCAAGCTACGCCATTATCACCAAATCTAGAGGCACAGTACAGATGGTGCCTGACTGTGAGAGCTGACTGAGATTTTTCAAACTCATCATGCTGAGAAAGTGTACACTTGTAGCATTTTATTTCCCTTTCTTTTATTTCTCTTTTTTTTCTTCTTTCTTCCTTTCGTTCCTTTTTTAATCTTTATAGTTTTGGGGGTGGAACCCAGGGTCTTTACTACTGAGCATATTACCATACCCCATTTTATTTCTTACTATCCATGTTATAGTAAATATGTTGCAGAAATAATCAGCACTTAACTATAATTTAGCTCTTGTGTGTGATGATCTTGCTCAGCTGTGGGCTAACATGAGTGTTTCGAGACTATTTGGAGCAGGCCAGGTAGAGCTGTGCTATCCACTTGGTTAGGTGTGTTAATCTTTCTACTTAGCAGTGTTTTAGGTCACGATGGGTTTATCTGATGTAAGCTGAATGTCTGCATTTGCCTTTTTCTACAGATGAAGGATCTGTGCTCCTACTCAGGGGCGGTATCCATCCCATCCTGGGTATCCATCTCATCCTCCTGTCTTCCCTAACAACTTCACTCTTGTAAATTGTTATGGATTAAAAACTGGTGGTCAACTTAATGCCAGCAGAATTAAATCAGCACGGTACTGAGCATAAATGTTCCACCTGAGGAAAGTTGCCAGTATAAATAAAGACATGGAGAAGATGAGTGAGATGATGTGGGTTTCTCTAAAGCTTTACTTTTCTGAACCATTGGTTCTACTGGAGGAGCTCGTCATGACTAGCTTCCCCAGTGGGAGTCTGACCTCTGTCATCAGAGGAGTTTGGGATGTTGTTGGTGAGCGTGGCTGTGGTTCCCTTTGCGGGGGGCTCTGGTCTTTACATCAAGCATCGTTTCCTGGCTCTGGAGGGGAGACATGTGTCACTTAATCTCCAGGACAAACTCGTCATACTGGCTTTCTGGTATGTACCCAACTGTTAGTGTCAGAGGAGCTCAGGACCTCTATGTGGTGAGGATGGCTGTGGTGCTTTTCAGGACAATCCTGGTCTTTGTTGTGTGACTTCTCAGCTCCAATGTAGAACCCTCATTCCACCAGCACAGCTCCTTCATCCTGCTGGCATGGACTCTCTGGCTTCCACCGCTGACCTTTGGGCCTTCCCAGAAGATTCATAAAACAGACTTGCGTGAGTCCTTGTCATGGTCTCTAGACCTCCAGTTGGACTCGTAGGAGGCATTGTCATGGGCTCTAGGTCTTCATCTGGACTCATGAGGACATTGCTGTGGGATCCAGGCCCTTGGCTAAATATTTGGGTCTTTAGTGTTGTGGACAGATTTCCTGCACTTTCTTATGTTAATTCTGGGTGACCATCGTAAAATAATATTATAAATTCTGTGTCCTGATTCTAGTTGTTCGCTTTACAACCCCTCACTACAACACAAATCTTCTCATTATTTCCTCCAACATTAATTTATCTTCCTTTTTGGCTATTTCCAGTAATGTCTAAATGTGCTGTAGTATCTTTCATTGATTTTTAAATGCAATTTCTCAGCACCACAGTCCCCTCGACATTTCTCCATTTTTATTCCTCCCTGCCTCCCTCTTTCTCTTTTTCCTTCCCCTCCTCCCACTTCCCTTCCCTTCCATTTCCCTCCTTCCCTTTCTCTTTCCTTCCTTGGTATTGTACACTGAACCCAAGACCTTCGTAGAGAACGACATCCCCAGCCCTATTCATTTTCAGTCATGGACTCCTGAAGTTGCTAACTTGTCCAGGCTGAGCTAGAACTTGTGATCCTCCTGCCTCAGCCTCCCAGGACTGGTATGGAATTACAGGGGGGTGACACCCAGCCTGCACACTGTCCTTTTCATCCAAGCTTTAATGCACTGCCCTCCTTACTTCCTCACCCACCGTTTTCTCCTGAAGCCATAGCACTCAACAGTCCCATGCACCACTTGATCCTGCCAAGATCGCCATCACCTCCTTCTGCTCCTCCTCCTGCAGTCCAGCTAATATGGCCTCAAATTACCTGACCTCACATAGCATCAGGCATATTTTCTCTTCACTTTTGGGACATCCCACTCTCCTCTCCTCCTATTTGACTCTTCCAACTTCTTAGCTGATTTCTCTTCCTCCACTTGATCTCCAGATTCTGTGTGCCCCACGGTCCAGCTCCCATCATCACTCAATGCTTTATTTCCATACCTGGTCTCATGCAGCACCAGGCCCACAGGCCACCACCCTCCCACAGGTGCCAAACATTTATTATCTCCATGAAGACCTTGCTCAGTGGCTGCGGGCCCACTGCCTCTGGCTTCCCACTTCCCTTAAAACCTGTGCATCTTCCAATGCTCCCTCCTCGAGCACAGCGCAAGTTCAAGACCTAGATGTCAGCTTGCAGCGCTCTTTATCCTTCATGTTCCACAGCTGGTCCATTAAAAAGATTTTCACCTCCACTTTCTAGGTCTATCCCAACACCGCTGTACTTCTCCACTTCCTGGCTCCCTCTGTAATCCCAGCCATCTACCTCTTACCCTGAACTCTCCAACAACTTCTAACTCCAATTTCTAACTCCATCATTGTCTTTGTGGTCCATTTTCTACCCAGAAGCCAGTTTAGAAACACACATTTGATTGCTCTAATCTTTTGCTTCAATCCTTTTGGAATGTTTCATTCCCAGCTCCTTGCACAGCCCACAAGGTTGGACACAACCAGTCTCTGACCGTTTCCTCCAGTCTCTCCCAGTGCCATCTTCCTCTGCTCCCCAGTGGTGAACCCACGTCACCTTCTTCCTCTCCATGGAACAATACCGAACCCATGCGCACCTCCTCATCTTGCATTTGCTCTACACTTTGCTGGAATGTTCTGCTCCCATATCTTCACATGAATGACTCTGTCTTGTCATTCAGGGCTCAGCTCAAATGTCAACTCAATTCAGACAGTGATCCGTTCTGAAATAGCCTGAGCAGGCATAATTGCATTGCTCTGTTTAATTTTCTCCATCCCATCCATTGCTTGCTGAAATGCCGTAGTTTATTTACCAGTTTCTGTTTGCCTCTCTGTCCCCCTCCCATGGACTCCCCCACACTTATTCACACACACGCTGGGGGCTGTGATAGCAGGGACCTTTCCTGTCTTGTTCACTCTTGAATAAGTGCATGGCACTTAGTAGAAACTCAATAAATATTTGGTAAAAAATAAACGGAGGTGAGAGGAGTCAATATTTCTCTTGCCCATCATGCTAGGGAGCAGCAGGCACTGGGTAGGGACACAAACACTCAGGGCAAGGGCTGATGGGAGTGGAGGAGGAGCTTTTCCTTTCCGAGGGGACTCCCGGCTGGTTCATACCTATGGGACGTCGTTCCTAGGGCACCCCAGGATGCGGGGTGTCTCATGTCTGTGCTGCCTGGCTGGTGGGAAGTGCTTATCTCTGTCACTTTCTCAGGTCCAGCGCTGGGTGGAGACACAGTCCCAGAGACACCTCAAGGGTGACCTGGGCCCGGGAGCTCCAAGCTCAGTTCTAAGTCAGCTGTGTGTTCCCTTCCGCTGTTACTGTTCAGAGAGGATCCAGGGAGGCTTTGGGACAAGCTGCATCTTAGCCTCTGCTACTCTGTGTGGAACTAAGTGGGGGTCTCTGTGGCTGGAGGAGGAGAAAGTGGAGGACAGGAGAGGGCGGTGGTGAGAGCAGCTGCAGGTTGCAGAAGGGCCGTCATCGGGGTATGGAGGTGCCTATGGTGTGCGGGGCTGGAGGAGATAGGGGACACGTGTGGTGGCTGGGACCCACAGGTTAGGACTATTGGAAGGAAGGGGAAGTCCAGCTTTCCCGTGGGTGAGGAGGGCTCAAAACATCACAATGCACCATTTGCAGAATGCAACATACTAGTGACACCTAGACATTTGTAGGGCATTTATACGGCTGCTGCTTGGGTAGTCAGCAGCCACCTGTGACTCGTTCATGATCCCCATGATACACAGCAGCAGGCAACTAGCAGCAAGGGTGAGGATTAAGAGAGAGAATCCATGGGTGCCCCAACCATGGTAGTTGGGGACATGGGGTGCGCTGCACACATGTGGCCTAGTGTGATCTGTGACTGGGCGCCTGGGGGAGCTGTCAGGGAGATCTGAAGAGGCTGGGGTGGGTGTCCACCCACCAGGACCCCACAGCACACCAGACCTCTTCCTGTTGTCGGGAGCACGAGAAGCCTGACTTCCGGTGCAGGCATGCTGGCCTCACCTGGATCACCCCGTTGGTCCTCATGGGCTCTGCCCACTGGAGCAGCAGTGCTCGGCCATTCTCTCTCTGGTCCACGGTAAAGTTGCTCAGCCCACTCGGGGAAGATTCTAAGGTTTGAACCAGAGTCCAGGGACTTGAAACATCTCCTGCGTGGTTCACAGCCACCACAGCAACGTGGTAGGTGGTGAATGGCTCCAACCCGAACAGCTGGGCTTGGCGGCTTGTGCCCTGGAAGACAGTTGAGGGGTGAGGTCTACAGGTAGCTGGGAGGCCATGCTAACAAAGTACGTGGCCAAGGCGCACTGGGAACCACAGGGTCCTAACCTGTCACTAAGAAGCCTGCGTGTTTGTTCTTGTTCTTGCTGACACCTTGAACACAGTACCTCATGTCATATGATTCCAGACACCCAGAAAGTCCAGGTGAGATAAACTCCTTGAATTTCTGGAACTGGCAACCCAAGGATGTGCTATGCGATTTTTTTTTTTTTTTTTTTTTTGTACCGGAATCGAACTCACAACCTAGTGCTTGCCAGGCAGGCACTTATGCCGCTGAGCTAAATCCCCGGTCCTGCTGTGTGAATTTTAAAACAAATCTGTGAAGCTTCAGATCAGGGCTATGAGTGGCTCACGACATCAGTGGCACCCGGCTGCAGGGCAGAGATGGAGAACTGCCCACTCACTTAGTCTTAAGTGTCTGGAAGTTTATTCTAAACCATCTGAATTCTCTAATCCCTACTGTATTTATTTACACATAAGACTCTTGCATCTCTCCAATATTCCTCTCTCATTCCCTTGCTGTGTGTTTGTATCTTACAAACTTCATAAACAAAAGCACACAAGAAAACAGTAATGAGCCTGCTTAACTATAAATGAACAAACACCCCAAGAGAAGTCTGCAGTTAATAGAAATGTGAACATGTCCTCATTTGTTAAAAACACCATAACTAAGACTATGAAATGTATCTAAATTAATTATTACTGAGGCTTTGAGAATTTGGTATTTATTGACTGAAAAGAAAAAAAAAGGACAACAGATTTTGTTTTCTTACCTGCTTGAAGAAAAATGTATAACATATTTTGCATAACTGGAGCTAAGAATCTTAATGTTTCCAAAGGCCCTGGGGTCTTCCCACATCTGGACTGGATGGGTCTGTCTGGTTAAGGCAGGAATTATGTCTTCAAGTGGGGCGATAATATATGTATAGGTAGCATGCAGACAAATTAGCATTTTCACTGAATCCCATACTCATTACCAATTAGGAATTTTTGACTGGGTAGTAAGATATTTACATTAGTGATGTAGGAGAATGGGATAGGTTTGTTAGATGTTTACACATAATAGTCTTCTACTGTCTTCTTTTCTGGAGGCTGAGAGAGGAGGGATGTGTAATGGGGAAGAAGATCTGTTATGGTTTATATCTAGATATACCTCCTCCCACCCACCCAAAGCCTCACATGTGTATAGGTGGGGCTTTGGGAGTGGTTATCTTGTGGGTACATAGTACTGGGTCATGGATTAGTTCACTGATTGGTTTAGCATTGCTCTAGGTGTGGATGATGGGAGACCCACCCTGGGTGTGTGTTGCACCAACCAATAGGCTTGCAGCCTGGATGGAGTAAAAAGGGCAAGAAGGAAGGTTTACTTCTTCCTGCTTGTCCTGCTATGGGCTGTTTCTTCTTCCTTATGCCCCTCTGCCATGCTGCCCTGCCTTTGAGTCAGCAGATTATGGAAACCTCCATAAACTGTGCTAAAACAAACCCTGCTTCCTTTAACTTGTTGGTGTGGGGTATTCTGTCCCACTGATGGGAAAATAACTAACCAGGATCTGCTTTTTGACAGACACAGAACATCAGACACAATTATATGTAAGGAAATTCTCCTTAACTTGGGGCTATAAAATTTTTGCATAAATCTCAGACTAGGTGACAAACAGAATAATTTTAAAATAAACTGGTTAGGCAAACTCAAAATAATGTAGAAATAATTTTTCACACTATTTCATCACCTTCTTAATTATAAAGTTCCAACTGTGTTAGCATTTTTTATTATGTGTTAAGCACAGGCAGAGAAAACATAATTTCCTTTGCCTGTCAGAAACCTATAACGCCAGTTTTCCTATCTCAGTAAGTTCCCATTATGATATTACACGCTAACCTCTTGAAATCTTTTAATATTTAAACATTTGCTAAGCGACCAGACTCTGAAACAAATTTTACAGAAATACTAATTTCTCTTTTTTAAAATATTAAAAGTTAGATCATAAATATTTAAAAACTTATTTCTCCACAACATTAGATTGGTTTTTTAGATAAATATAACACAGAACTTGAATGACCATAATGAATATTAAATCTGAGGATGCTACAAGGGCTGATTACAAACATTCTTTGCCAATAAATGATTCCTTTTCTGTGGAAATAGGGCAAACATGGTCAAGATTAATAATGCAAAAAAGAATAATTCTTTGTTCAAGAATCTTCAGTAGTAGATGCCAAAAAAAGCATATGCTCCAAAGCAAATTGTAATCACTTCTAACAGATTATATATAAAAAAGGAGGGTGCTGGGGAACACGTAGAGATGGCTTTTGTCGTAAGAAACATGGAAAGCATGTGGGCCATAGAGCAAAAACATATGCATATTGTCAATAACAACACCTGCTCCATTACAGTTTATTTCAGAGCTGAGATTCCGTTCAGCCCCTAGATGGCAATACTACCAAACACTTTTGGTAGCAGGAGTACTTAATGATTAATAACCAGCATTCAGTCATCCAACACACTCCAGGCAACCATTAAAAAAAATAACAAAACTGATTTCATTACAGATTCTTTTAGTAAACATTTATGGCTCAGCTCCTTGAAAGCAGACGTATTCAAAATGCCCTGGCCTCAAAACTCCAACCATCTAATATAGAAACAGGAACTGCTTGTCTTGGATCCAACCTCACACATTCCTGGTATGGAAATTGTTACACGTATGATTCCACAAAGGGTGATTACAACAGTAGTTTTGCTGAATCTGGTCTGTTTTGTCTTTAACAACCATAGAATTAACCACATCTTGGGGTGAGGAGGAAAACTTCCCTTACAATGAAATTTAAATTCTCATATTAATTTATTTCTGAAGAACTACTTCCCTCCATCAAAATAAATAAATAAGTAATCACACATCCCTTAAACAGATCTCAGCAATAGGCATGCTTTTTGTCAATGACTAGCAAAGGTCACATGAAAAAGAAAAGAAAATTAAAAATAATGAAACAACCCCTAGCCCTTTATGGAGCTGCATGTTAGGAAACAGTTTGTATTATTCTCTTCTGAATAGACTTCAACACCAAAGTTCACTGGTGTAGACTCCTTCTGCAAGGTCTTCATGTAGTTCCCCGTATGAACTGGGTTGTGTCCTGTTCATTAATTCAGTTACTTGTTATGATCTTTATTTATTTTGGTGCCAGGGATTGAACTCATGACCTTGCACTTGCCAGTCAGGTGCTTATGCCACTGAGCTACATCCCCGGCCCCTGTTAGGATCTTTAAATTCAGAATTTTTGCTTGAGGAGTGTGGATTAGATGCTGGGGATACAGTTGCTTCCTTGGGAGCTGGAGCGTTCTGTCCCACTGACTAGTGAAGGTCATCGCTAAGGAAATCACCCTCCCTTGCTTCACCTTCCTGCCCTTCCCTCTATTCCATTTCTCCTCTCTGCTCTGGTTCTCTCTCCTCTTTGGAGAGTATCTGCATTTGATATGTTCCTCCCTTCCATTTTCACCATTTTATTCTTTCTGTCCCTTTACTCCTCCCAGCTATTGATTCTCATGAGCTACACTGTTTGTTACCACTGATTCTGAGCTAAGAAGTTGTACTGGCTTTGTTTTATTTCTGTCCATTCTATACGTGTCCATAACCTTCCTACTGAGAATAGATATAGATATAGATAGATATAGATATAGATATAGATATAGATATAGAGATATATAGAGATAGATAAGTAGACAGGTATCTAAAACTGCTTTTGTTAGGTAGCAGATGATGAGAACAACCCAAGAAAGGCAAACCAGGAAAAAATGTATTAGATAAAATCCTTACTCTACCATCAGATATTTCCAATGAAATTTAGCCTCCTTTACTCTAAAAATTTATATGTAAGGAGGTCAGAGTTGGGATCCAAATCAGCGTATCACTTGATAAGGCTTATGCCTTATCAAGACAAGTTTCTCTGGATACTCCGCCAGTTGAGGTTCTGCTGGCAATGTGATACATTTTAACCTCTCCCTCTGCTCCTGGGGACGCTTGAAGCTACTCCGAGTCTTCAGCAGTCTGACAATTTTACACCATCTCCTCTGATTATTTTTGATGACTTGAAGTGCCCCACAGGTGGCCATGGGGTCAATAGGTTTATGTAGGTTGAAAATGATCAAAAATTACCATTGATCTCCAGCTGTCAATAAAAGGCTGCATGGGGATACTCCCTGCACAAATGTTTAAACTACAGAAAGCTACCTAACTTAGTCATCTTTGAGTCTATTGATCTGATGATCCAGCAGTTTCCAGAGCCTTCCCTGTGGTCTTTGTGGTGCATTTTCACTAAACCCGCTTTCCTTAGCTCTGAGGAATCTTTTCACCCTGCTGCCAGTAATGAACCCCAACTGCAGGGTGTGAGACCCGCAGTGCTTACGAGCAGAGCATTCCGTGTGCTTGTTACCCCTTGGAAAGGGTTAATCTTCCTGCTCACCACTCACTGCCTTTCAAGCCAATTGGGGTTTCTTTTGCCTCTGCCTGTCATTGATTGTTCTCGCTCCTAAAATTGATGAGTTGTGGTTTATAAATCCTGACCAGCTGGTAGGGTTCTGTGTCCTCCTTAGTTATCATAAATACCCAATCTCAGAGTGTGAGTACATAAAAAGATTGCCTTTTACCACAAAAGATAGCATCAAGGAGGCCAGGGATTTAGCTCAGCTGCTCAAGTGCTTGCCTGGTAAGCCTGAGGTTGTGATTTCAATTCCTGGTACCAAAAACAAACAAACAAACAAAACAACAACGAAAAAGATAGCTTCAAGGCAATCTAGATTTAAGTGTATCAACCACCCAGATACCTCAAGTTATATTCAACTTTCCTATGATAACAAAGCAAAGGAAGAATATAATCAAGATTTCCTGGTTTATATAACAACAACATAAAAAAGAAAAATGAGAAGGTCTTCTTTACTGCTGCCTTAAAACCTTGGCACG